ATATAATGTTCGATACTATATAATGTTCGATACTATTTTCCCGTTCATCAAAAACCAAATAGTAAACACATGAAGCAACATATGATACCAATGTGTTCCTTCAAAATTACTAGACTCCCACATTTCTAGCTCTTCAATCTCATTAAGCAAATAAGAACATTCAATTAGGCAGTGTAAAAAGATTACTTATTCCCTTACGATGATAGTTAACCTAAGGGTATAATGTATAGGAATTAAGAAATTTGTTCAATCCATTTTCTTCAAAATTCTACTACTTTTCTCCCACAAGTAGAATACTCAGTGGTGATTTAGTGGTGATTTGATTCAACAGTTAAAATCACTAACACAGAAAAGTACTGTATATCCTACCTCGATGACCATCAAAGATTGCAAAGACGTGAATATCCTTTTCATCACACACTTGAGGCATAAGGAAGTGTCTATCTTCCATCGTTTCCCTTCTTCCACATGATGCAAAGGAACCCCAAGATAGAACTGGACTATATACATGATCTTCTGAATGATCCAGCCATGCGCTAGCAGCAAGGGCAATAGGGACCCTTTTCGAAAATTCTTTACCCTGACCGAACCAGCTAATATTCTCCTGATAGCTTTGGATATTTGCACCATCAGAACCATTTGAAGAAATAAAAGAATCCGCTGACACCATTTCTGTACGGCTCCTTCCAATTTCATCTGCCAGAATGGAACCAAGCTCCACGACAATATCATCAAAAGAAGGCCTATTTTGCGGATCTTTATCCCAACATCTTTCTATCAAAGAGAGTAAACAAGCTGAAGCACCGGATCGAAGATCAGCTAGAACGGGCCGTAAGCCTTCAGATACAACGGCTGCAGTAAGTCGCTGCTCAGTGTAGTTCATTTCAAGCACAGTATGGGCCTATCATAAGCAGATATAGGAACCAGTAAGCATCTAAGATATGTGACAGAGTAAATCAACTGCTCGTAAGTTCTTATTCTACATGTTTAAAAGAATCATATATCCGGAAATCAGTTTCTTGAATTAAAGCCAACTCCCATCTCGTATGTGGAGGAAAAAACTTAAGAGTTCTTCCACCATTTCAAAGGAGAGCAGCTTCTTACGAATCCTATTAACCATAAAATTGCTCCTATCTCATAAGTGTTCAACAGCAACAACAACATACCCA